CTGACCACGTAAAATGCTCCCAAGATGCCCCTGGGTTTAGATGTGCATCCCTATCCAGAACGGAAAGCACAATGCACTTTTCAGTTCTTTATTTGCAACTTACGAGACTGCTGCACAATGAGGGGGAAGGGGCAGACCGAATTCATTTTCTTCTCTCTTGGCTGAAATACCTGGTAATGAATGGCAGCCAATTTACAGGAGTCAGGCATTGTTTTCTTTACCAAATCCAATTACTTTTGAGATTTGAAGAATGAGGCAGAAATGCTGGGCACTGCCTAGGGAACTGTGACTTCAAATCGAGTCCCCAGAGGACAGAAACAAAAACCAAGTTCATTATCAACTGGCTTTGCCTTAGTATGTGTCTTTTAATACTTAGACAAAATGCAGAAATTCTCAGAAGTGTGTTTAGCTAATTAAATTAGTGACACTGGAAACTCAGAATGTGCAGTAAAATCGACTTTTCCTTTTTTGAGAGCAAATGACACCCTTAATCTTAATAAGGTCTTAATTCCATTATTTATTAGTCATTTTGAAGATTTTTGCCCCTCAAATTACATAAACAGTTCTAGCTCAATAATCCAAACATTAATAGTCTAATCAATCAGCTGCACTGTCCAGCTGTCAGTATATTAATTATCTGAGATAAGGGTACAGAGAGAAGCACTCTAGGATTGGCAGCCAGCATAGCCACTGGGGAAGCACCTGCCTCCATGTGCGAGGCTGTGGACTTACCCCAGCAACACATCCAGGAGCAGTGCACTCTATTGTGAACACTAATAAGTATGTATGTAATAGGCAGAATCCTGGCATCCTCAAAAGTGGTGATGACGTTAATTCCACAGCCCTACAAATATGCCACCTCACATGGGAAAAAGACTGCTATAGATATAATTCAGCTTAATGATTCTAAAGTAGGGGCTTATTCAGGGAAGCCAAATATCATTTCAAGTTTCCTGATAAGACAAGGAGGTTAGAGGAAGTCAGAGAAGACAAGATAAGCAGAGGTCTGAGTGAAAGGAGCCCTTAGCAAGGAAGCTTCCAGAAGCAGGCAAAGGAAGAAATGAAGCTGTCTTTAGAGACTTCCTAAGGAGCAGAGCCTTGACCAAGTGTGTGGCAGTGGTACAGCTGAAGCAGGAAGCAGCTTCATTTCATCCAGATAAGACAACAATTCTCAGCGAAGCTGTTTGAGAAAAGGTGTGAGTAAGACCAACCATGCTCCTGGATCATAAATCATTGACATGCTCTTCCTCAGGGACTCAAAACAGACAGACCAACCAACCAACCAACCAACCTAGAGGTGAGTTCCATGCAACCCTGACTGTGGTCCTAAGTAGGGCATTTTTTTTCATTTTGAAATTCTCTGCCTCTTCAATAAATAATAGTTTTTTTTCCCCCAGTGGAAACAAATTAGATAACTTCTAGCTATTTTTTTAAATGTGGATTTCACAGCTGTATCGAAATATGTTAGATCACCGAAATATGTTCATTTTGTTAACATAAATGCACTTTTTGTCTTGTGTTTCCATGACCACTCCAGGTCCCAGAAACCGCCATTTTATCCTTAGCTTCTGTAAGTTTCACTATATTAGATTCTACACACAAGTAGAATCATAAGTAACAATACAGTGTTTTTCTTTCTGTTTTGGGTTATTTCATTTAGCACACACACATATATATATATATATATATATATATTTATATACACTCATGTACTTATACATGATAGACCTTATATAAATGCACCATGTATCTCATATATATGCCCTACATGTATACATGTACTATGTGATTTTTAATCAATGATAATGGAGCATAATACACCAGAAATAAAACTCTAGTTAGTATTATATTGATTGTACTATACACTTAAAATTTGCTAAGAAGGCAGATCATTTATGTATGAATGTATGTACACACATACATGCACACATGCACATATATGTCAGAGTGTGTCTTTGGACGTCAAAAGTCAACTTTTGAGACACAATTCTCTACTTCCACCATGGGGATACCAGGGATTGATCTCAGGGAATCAGGCCCCTTTATTATAATTTCATTTGTTAATTATAATTCAATAATGCAATCAAAATGAAATTTTTGCATTAACAGTTTAAAGTCCCAGTGCCACCTCAGGAGTTAAGTTCCTACTTCTACATTTATTTGAAACAAAACAGAACAAATTTTGGGACAGTAACAACAAAAATATGCTAGGGATGTGCCCACTTCTATCACAATTATGTCATAGACAGGTATATTTAAGAAAGCCCAGCCCTCCTTTTGGAACCTGTTCTCCATGCAGGGATGCCTCACCCAGCCTCGATACAGGGAGAGGAGCTTGGTCCTGCTGCAAGATGATAGATATTCCATGCTTTGTTGACTCCCATGGGAGGCCAGCTCCTTTCTGAACAGAGGAGGAGTGGATAGGGCCATAGACAGGAGGGTATGTGTGTGAGGGAGCAGGAAGAGAGGAGCGAGGGGAAACTGTGGTTGGAATGTAAAATAAATAAAAAATTAATAAAAGGAAAAAAAAGAAAGCCTAGCACTCAGGAGGCAGAGGCAGGTGGATCTCAGTGAGTTGGAGGTCCGCCTGGGTCTACAGTGTAAGTTCCAGGACAGTCAGGGCTACACAGGGAAACCCTCTCTCGAAAACAATTAAAAAAGCAAGGCTTGTCTGATTGTATTCTGGGTAGTCATGGACTCAGGTCAGATTGTGACAGTTTTTCCATTTTCTTCTCAGCATGGCAAGATGACACTAGAAACACACATTATAGAAACTGCTCATCCTGAAGCCTGAACATTTAAAAGACATCTAGCTTAGATTCCATTGCTGACACACTGCTCTCTTTATTAGGTGTTGTCAGTGCAGCCTGGAGCGTTCACTCTCTGATCCTTGACTGAAAAACTCTGACTTTTCTGTCTTTCTCCCTCCTCTCCTCCCCACCCCCATCCCTATCCTTGGGTCTTGCTATATTGTAAAAGCTAGTCTTTGAAATTCTGGGGTCAGGAGATCCTCTGCCTCATCCTTTAAGTAGCTGGACTACAGGTGTCTTACCATGCCCAGCTTAGTTGGCCTGATTTACATAAGTTATTGAGTAGTAAGTGTGTGTGTGTGTGTGTGTGTGTGTGTGTGTGTGTGTGTGTGTGTGTGTGTAAATCGTAAGGCCTAAAATAAATTCAAATGTTGACACATGGGACATTTCAAATTCCTGGGAGAAAAATGGGCTAATGTGTTAACAGTGGTACAGTAATTTACTAACTGCTACAAAGATGAAAGCTATAGTCCCAACTCCTACCATCCACATTTTTTCAAGCTAAAAAACATGTTAAAATTAGAACAGAGACCATTGTTAGAATGTTGGGAAAGGGAGGATTTTCTTCCCTGTGACAGAAAAATTAAATACTTTTCTAGATAAAAGGAACATAAATAAAGTTACAAAATGATCCCATTATATGCACTAGACAATGAATAAGATAAAAGAAGTTACTACAAATCATTTTTATGAAGTGGCAATGGATGTGAATGGGCAATCCACAAAGGAAAAATAGTCATTGCTAAAGCTAGAAGTAATTGGGGAAATGCAAATTAAAACAATGAGATATCAACTTTTCATCCATCATACGGGCACAATGATAAAACCTTGGATAGTATTAATCATTGGCTAAGAAACATAAAAAGACTTCCTGAATCACAGCCAAGTGTAAATGTGGTTTCCAGTGGCTCCATATCATAATTTCTGTCCTTACTGAGGACAGTCAATGGCAGGCACACAAAGGGACATTCACAAAGAGTGCTTTGTGGTACTGGTGTCTGTAGTAACAGATCATAAACAATCTGTCTACCACTATGAATGGAGTAAATAAATCAAGGCAAACCCACACTACCCATGTTTTGCTACTGTCCACAGTCACTCAGAAGGTCTTCCAAGCACACTTTGTTAAGGGAAATATAATCAGCTCTTAGGAGGCTGCGGTTGTGGCTCATGGGGAGTGCTTGCCTAGCAGGTGTGAGGCTCTGCACTTGACTCTTTGCAAGAAAGAAAAGAAGGATGGAAGGGAGAAAGCGAGGGAGGGAAGGATGGAGGGAAGAAGGGAGGGAGGAAAAAAGAAAGAGGGGAGGGAAGGAGAGAGGGAGAGAGAGAGAGCAGCAAAAGCCTAATTCTTAGGACAGAATTTATCATCGCAATGAATGATTATTTCACTGATTCACTCTAGAATGTGGTATTTCTGTAGAAAACAGACTGGCTGGGGATGTCACTGAGTTCCCTACTTTCTTTCTAGATGTACGATTTGATCTTTGATAGTGAGCACTGAGCTATATGTCAGTTACATGCTAGGAAAGTCAGGGAAAGCTTATAGGACTCAGGTATACTTGAAGTGTATCTTGTGGCTGAGTTCCTTAAGATATAGACATCCCTTTTAGATCTTAGGGAACTGTATGCTGTAAAAGGATAGCAAGAGAAGTTAAATACTACATGCCTCTAATTCTAAGGCATTCCTTTTAAGATTAGCCATTAAAAACTGCTTTCCGGTGTTTGGGTAGGGGTAAGGCACAGGATCTCAATGAATATGTGAGATGATTGCAAGATGCTTTTTTGATCTCACAAACACTTAGATCAGTGGTTCTCAAGACCTACGGGTGGAACAACCCTTTTACAGATATTTATGTTGAGATTAATAGCAGTAGCAACATTACAGTTACAAAGTAGCAACAAAAATAATCTTATGGTTGGGGTTCACCACAACATGAGGAACTGTATTAAAGGGCCATAGCATCAGGAAGGTTGAGAGCCAAATAACAATTTGCAGAATATGGAAACATGAGGTCACAAGCTCGATACCCACCTCAGTGAACACATACACGCTTACAAACCATTGGAGGCCAGAATTCCATGCTTCCAACAGGAATGCTCACAGGGGAAGAGATGCCAAAGGGCCAACATACTATCCATGACAAGCATTCACACAGCATGGGGGTTCTCTCTAGTGCTACAAGTGCTCACCTTATTTGGGAATGGAAACTTGCTTGGTTCCACTTTGCCGGGAGCTTGAATAGCAGAGAGTGGAGGAAGCCAGGTCATCTCCTAAAGGTGGGTTAAAAAAAACAACAGTATTTTCAAATAGAGTACTCAACAGCAAAAGCATGCACAGGGAATTTTTAAAACAGAGATTTGAAACTTATTTTTATGAAGTGTTTCCTAGCGTGATCAGTTAGTTCTTTAGTCGAAGCCTCCCTCTTAATACCTTAAAAATAAAGGGCTGTCCCATTTTCATGTCACGGAAAGAAAGGTTGGAGTTATTACACAAAATTCATAGGATGTTTCTGAAGGTGTGCTTAAGACAGTTGAAATCTTAGTACTCTTTATTGGATGACTTGTCTAAAGTATTAGAGATAAAGAAGGAATTCCCAACCAGTTCCATAAATCATTGCCGTCTTCATAAGAAATGGGGGACAATGAGAGAGACAAGCCATATACATGGAGTAAATAGAGAAAGAAATGGTGTCAAGTTTACAAGCCAGTACTAAGATCACAACTCGAGTTCCGTGTGCTGTAATCTGTCACACGCTCTTTGACACTGTTCCCTGAGCTGTGGGAGAGGGAGGAGGTCATATTGTTCACATTTAGTGTTTTCCTTTAATTCCATCTCCTAGAAGACAGCTGCCATCAATAACTTACTAAGGATTAAATTGACTTCTGATGACCAAGAGAATCAATGTAGTTTGAAAACAGGTTCTGAATCCTATTTTTAATTGGCCTTCACTTTCAAACCTAAGCAATCATGAACCATAGTTGGTGCTTAAAAAAAAAAAGAAAAGTAAGACTTTCCTCTGTTGGAGGGGGGCTGGGTCCTCACCAACCATTGGCAGGCAAGGTGTTGAGAAAAGATCCTTCAGGGTTTAGGTAATCAAAAGAGGACCTGTGGCTTCATTACCCGAGTAACCAACCCTCTTCTCCATAACCTCAGATGGGGCAGAATTTACACAAGAGCCAAGTTAGGGTGAGAATTCTAAACAACCCAGAAAGGATTTAAGGGAACTCCACCATCTCCCCCCATGACACATGTGCCACAGGCTGGAGGGTTTAGCAATAAGCTTTCCACATGCCCATTCTCCAATCCCTTTTTTGTCGACAAGTGACCCCATGTCCTTGTCTCATCCCACCTCTCCTCTGAGGAAGTAGGACTGCTGGGTTTGTGTTCAGGGTGGCATCTGACTTCATCCCCAGGATGAAGGATTAGCTCATCATGTTCATGAGTGGGCTATTTGTTGGGGAAGTGATCAGATCTCACCTAGATTTTTGCTCCCCAAGTAAGAAAGCTATTAAGACACAAATGGGTTTTCTTCCCTTAACATGTTGTTTCTACCACTTGGCTCTTCCATAGTTCACTATCTCTGTTTTTTTCTTCACAAGTTTTCTCATCTTTTTTTTTTTCACTTAACTTACTGGCTAGGATGAAGTGGTGTCAAATCTTTCACAAAGGGAGCTAATTATCAATTACAAATACTTGACCTGTTTTTCCTTTTTCTCCATTATGAACTGTCTGATGTGTCTAAGGCCACCACAATTACTCAGTAGCTTTCTTTGCAATCAGTTTTTTATTCACACAGTTTATACTACGTAATCTTTAGGGGTCAAAAGAGATAAATACAATATAAACTAATTACTCATGATAAACATCAGGCGTGTATGTACACACCAACATGTTCATGTTAACTTCCTTCCAATTACTGTTTGCTCTGTTTATTCATTGGCATGTTATCTATGTGTGCCTAAGTTTTCTGTTTGTCTGTTATAAAACCCCAAAGATGATTTGTGTCCTTACAGCTATTCAGAAGTAAGTGACAAAAACGGTTAATGAACTATAAATGACTGAACTTTCTTAGGACATTTTCTACAAATAACTTCTCACAAGTGACTTTCAGAAATGAATTACAGTTTATCCAAGGCAGAGGTAACAAACAAGCTTTAAGAAAGCGCTAAGCTGTGATCCCTGAGTGTACCCTCATCCCTGACCACCTGCTCATTCCCTACATAACCGTTACTGAAAAGTTCCTGTGGGCAGGCACAGGGCTCAGTCTACTGAGTCATCAAGTTAGTGTGTCAGTCCCAAGAGTATTTACGATCACCATGTCTTCCCTTATCCCAGTGAGGCCTGCAATCTCTCCCTTCTTCATCCCTTCCCCACCTCCATCCCATCTACCCAGCCTCACAAACTACAGCCACAAGAGGCAGACGTCCCTTCCACTTGGTTTGCTGTCCTTGTCTGCATTGTAGTTCTTTTTTGCACCCTCAACTCTTTCCTTCATTAGAGGGCATCTCCATCATTCTCTCTACCCCGTTCCTTTAAAAGAGTCCAGTGGCTCCCTCCCGAGTTGCCTTCTTCCCTGTCTACTTTTACAAGAACCACCCCCAACCTTGCTGGCTTTTAAGAACAATCTTGTAGCAGCCCCCAACATTTCACACCACCTTCTTGACATGATCTGTGTCCATATTCATTATATTGCTCCCTAGCTCTGAATTTAATTCTGAAAAATCAAACTTTTTTTTTTTTTAAGAGTGAGACCTCGTGGCTCTCTCCAGTCTGCCCCAAGCAGATTCAGGGTAGGACACTTTCTCCTACCTAAAACTCACTCAAGTTCCTATTTTCTTTAAATTCAATACCTAAAACTAATCAACTAACAGACAGCTTAGCTGACTTCTCTAAGATCCTTCCAAAGGGTGTGAACCACTCAGGTCCACTGCAACCTTTATATGCAATCTTCATTCCGGTGTCTCTGATCTGTGTGGCAGCTAAGCTAAAGGCACTGTGTGGCAACACACACCAGAGACACTGACTTCCTAAGTCCCAGGACCTCTAGCTAGCTAGGGCAGTCTTTGCCCTGGCTCTAGTCTTTCGTCCTTCTAAAGTTTCTCAGACACTGCTCTGGTGCTCTGTGATTCTCCTTGAGCCTATTTGGTTCTCACTTTCTATCAACCAACTCTTCCCTATTACGTCTTTGAAAACAACCAGCAGCTACTGGGTGTCACTGTACTTTAAGAGAAATCTATGGGTCCTCATGACAATCAAGCCAATCGCCTTCCTCACTGGTAATCCCTACCTGCTCCTCTACCTTGTCCTCACCTCTTCCTGAGATCTAGATCCTGTCACCTTCTCTATAACTTTAATATGTTCTTCTTCCCGGGTTTTCACCCGGGAAGACTGATGAACAGTCTTGACCTCTCCTCCAGCCTTTTATTTCTATACTTCGTATCAATAGCCACTTTTCTTGCTGTTTTTAAAAAGTATCATTCAATCATATTTTGCTGCAACTCACACACACACATGTACACACACATGAAAAACTACAGAATATGGCATATGTAGCTTAATAATGAAATGAATCCTATGAACTCACAACCCACCTTCCTATTTCCAAGACCTTATCATCAGAATCAGCTCTGATAAGGGTCCTTTCCAATGGTCACGTTCATTAGATTCTCTTGAATGGACATTTCTTCATGAAGCTCTGCCCTGGTTATCTCAGTTCCCGTGACCTCATCACCTCCACTCTCTAGCTTCTTTCTTCTCCATTCCTTCTTGTTGGCAAGTCTCCTTGACTAATCCTTCAATGTTTTGTGTTCAGTCTACTTTCTATTCCCTGGCTAATCCTGTTTATTACTGTGGCCTTAGAAATCACTGATGTATATGTTGCCCAAATATACAGCCGGGCAGTCAACTGCCTACTGTAGGTGTCTACTGAGTTCCTTAGTTACTGAGCTCTACAGTCAATTCAGACTCACCATATTTATCACTGATTGCCTCTTCCTCATAAACTTTTCATCTTCTGTATGTTACGTCCTGGGTGAATGCACCGACATCTTTTAACTATTCCAGACAGAATCCTTGTAATCGTTATGGAATCCTTCTCTTTTATCACTCCAACCCTCTCCCCAATAAAGCACCATCTTACACTAATTAAACACTTAAAACAGAAGATGTTTTATAAACCCCAAAGGTAGGATTGACTATTTACCTAGTTTATAGGCAAGGAAGCCAAGCCACTAATTGGCTAAGGGACTGCTGAAGCTTACCCACTGTCACTGTGTCTCAGTGCATTTAAGGTTCAACCCAAGGCCGGGGACGCCTGACCTCTGTGCATGTGGCTGGTCTCACTGAGCCTTTTCCTATCTACAGGGCTGCCTCTCATCTACTATGGTTCCCCCACTTTCAATGAAGCTCCAGATGCCAAGCCAAGGTTTGATCCAACTTTGGGGGTGTTTATCCCTCACCTAGGAGTGATCCCCCTCCAGCAGAGGCTGCATCATTTGTTTGATGGTCCCATCAGCTAATGCCAAGCTGATGTGTTCAGGGAATTTTTGAATGCATGCCAAACTGAAGTATATATTTTCAGGGTCTCAGCTTTTTCTTCCTTTATGTTTTCTAAGCTATCATGAAAATATTCCAGTATTTTATCCTGCTTAATAACTTCCTGTTTTAATTTCTTCTTCTGTTATCAGTCCTTCTTCTACATGGATGGCAAGGGGCTCGTCTTGGGTGTCAAGGTAGCCAAGGAACTTCACTCCTCCAAAACCTTTACTAGCCACCATCATATACATAACAGAAGCACAATGAGAATGACAACTACACACGATGGTTGTATCTAACAGTTTCATGATAGTCCCATGCAAGTTGTTTTATTCATGCCTACCCATCTAATGTAACCATGACTTCACATTGGAGGTGAGGAAGGTAGAGCTCGAAGATTATTTATTCAATTGGTTCATAAATATCACAGCTGAAGTGTGGCCCCGTGTCTCCTCACTTCCACTCCAGAATTTTATTTTCACTCTAGTGCATTTGCCTTCAGAGCTCTCACCCTCATACATGAGAGCTACATAAAGGGACCTGTGCCAGTTTCATTCCACTTACACAGAAAAGTGAATCTCTCTTTGCTTATGAAGTGCCTGTGTTGGATGAGTGCCCATCCCCACACGCCGCAGGACTTCTCACCATCCACGAAGTTATCTGCCTTTGCTGATACGCCCCTTATTCCAGCATCACATGAGAGTTCCTTTCTCAGGCTCTTCCAAAGCATTTACCG